ACAAGAAGAATAGCTGGGTTTCGATGGCCTTTTCATTACGTATGAAAGTATAAGATGAAGAGATTCGTAGGTCAATCTCGCTGTAGCTTCGGGAAAAAACGGGCTGTTATCTTCAGTCATATGACAGATATCGTCACAACTTTAAGTTAGTAGTATGTTCTATTCTACATGCCACAGATACTCATAACTAAAAAGAAAAAAATATATATTTATAAATACAGAATAAGTAGGTTACTTAGATTTTATATGAATTATGGTACTTTTACTTGAATTCAGATCAGAATAAGTACATATAAACTTAATGTCGGTATCTGGTAATCAATGTTTAATGACTCATTGACATTGAAAATTCCTAATTGTCGCTGTATTATGTCGTGTAAATTCAATTAATCACATACAACAATCACAGATGCAAATTGATGTGTTGGTTTTTGGCGAAAATTAGTTGAATAAAAGTGCATAGTATAACATTTTTTAATGGATTCATGTATTCATGTTATTCATTTCGTTTGTTAATTGTCCTCCTCGGAAACCGAATTAGCAGATGTGACTGTGGATTTAGGTAGAGTCGTCCACGATGCACCACATCTTATGATCATCGGATTCCACTCCTTTAGAAAACGATATGAAAGGTACGAAAACATAAAGCCTACTGGACTACAGACTGACTGAAGAGGGCTTACACATCTGCTGGACGTAGTGCTGACTCAAATGGCTGTCGTAGTCAGCCTGTCTGGCCAGTCGGAGACCGCAAAAATCACAGAGGAAGAAGCACTGCTCAACGGGCCGGTCGAGAGAGACTGGCGCCGGGGTTCGTCTTCCAGACGATTCACTCTTCCCCTGGCACAGCGATGACCCTGTCTGCGAGTCCTGGTTCAGCTGACCGAGCAACAGAGCCTGGGGAAATCCGGCCGACAGACAGGAGAGGGCTTGAAAGGAGGACAGCGACGACGAACTGGACGACGACGCAGAGGCAGCGGACGAGGAGGAGGACGAAGAAGATGACGATGGAGACGAGGCTTGCGAAGCTGCCGTCCTCAGAGGCTGTTGGTCGCAGCCGACGTCCTCTTCGAACCCAGCATCCGCCTGGGCCCCGGCCAGGCCAGTCGAATGTGCATCATCCGCCTGACTGGGCCCAGTCGTGGACTTGCCAACTCGCCAATCGGGATTAGCAGAACTCCTATTGTTGCCATGGCCACAGCCTAGA